CACACACACACACACACACACACACACACCTATCTTCAGTTTCTCCTTCACCCTGGAAAACATCACACTTCAGATACCAGTCACCACAAGCCATGCAATGTGTTAAATACAATGAAACAAAGTCAGACAATTATCCCATTTACTTGAGGTAGGGTTTACATGACTTTTTATAAAGGGAAAGGAAAAGAAAAATCTTTGGGACTGAATGTATGTCTTCATGGTTGTAATGGGGATCTTCACTCAGGCTATTTTTGGAACACCAGTCACATGACTACGTCCGCTCAACACTGGTGTGCATACAAACTCCCTCTGGTTTAACTGTTTTTAAACTTAAATAAATTCAAGAAAACAGCATCAAACTCCACCGGAGGACCACAAAACATTGTGCTGTACTTGTAACAGTGACTCAGGATGCAGCCAGCATCCCAACATGGAAGGAGTATTTTGTTCCTTTTTCCCAAGCAAAGATGCTAGCTAACAGATAGATTGGAGGTGTAGGAAAAAAATATGTGTTGTTCAAAATGGTATGTCCGAATAAACAGGAATCCACTGGATTTATTCTTTAAAACTTTATTTTCAATCTTCTGACTCCAGTCAGGTTCACAGTACAGCACACAGGCCTCAGTGTAAGACCTTGGACTGAACCAAAACAAAACACAGCTGCTCTGCTCTGAGCAGACACTCTGCAACACACTGACAACTTCTTTCTCCTATAATAATGAATTGAGCTTATAATGTACATCTCTTCCTGGTTACATCCCTGGAGGTGTTACCTTTTTCGTCTGACGTCAGAACGTAACTCCTTTTGTTTAGGCTAAAGAAAGAACACATTATAAGACACATACCAACTCTTATTCTGTTATGGCCTTAAAGCTGCAATGATCCGAAAGTATAAAATGCAATATTGCATCTAATATTCAATTAATCCATTACAAAATTTCCTTCAGAGGGATGGGATTAGCTGAATGTGACCAGAAAAAAGTGCTATCATAGACTTAACGTCTGCTCCAAACATTTTATCAGAGGTAAAAAGACCAACGCTGGACCACCTGGATACCATTTCTGAACTTTCTATCAATAAACAAGTACAGTAAACCATATTTTTTCCTGTGTCTAGCCTACTGCTAGCTTTACTCATAACATATATGCTAGCCTCATATACAGCACTCTACTGCAGTCAGTCACACATGTGATAATTTTACACTTACACAACATCACCATTAAGTTTTTTTATTGTTATTATATTAGTTCTAGGTGGTTCGAGTAATAAAAATATACACAGAGACACACGCACAATCACTGATGTAGCAAGCTAAGCTATAAGACACATTTTTAACAAATTCAATCGCTTTCCGAGGCTGTCAAAGACCTTGACCCCCTAGCTATCCTTTCAACTGAATTTTCCTGTGGTTCCTGAAGTCGGATGTGTCAAAATTTGCGCTAACTTCTTTTTCTGTTACAGTATTAACACTGACTCTCTGTATAATCCTTACTTTTGAGAGAGAAGCTGATAATATATATAAAAGCTATGTGTGACGTCACAACTGAAGGTCTCCATTGTAGGCAGGGCATTAAATTTGTCTGTCGATTACTCCAAAGGCTGTCCCAATTTGTGGGCTCCTTCTCTTGCGGCCGAAAAATGTGGTTTACAAAACCCTGAAAATGAAGGCTGAATCTGTAGGGTTGTCACCCGTCCCTTAAAATACGGAATCGTCCTTTATTTGGCCAATAAATGTTTTGAACCAATACGGGACGCGTTTTGTTCTGTATTTTCATAATGTCCAGTAAACATGTCCCTCTCATTCACATCAACACTTAAAAAGCCCCTCCTCTCCTCCTGCTCCTCTGTGTGCTGCCTGTGTGTGCGTCTGCTCTCACAGTCGGTGACACACACACACACACACACACACACACACACACACACACACACACACACACACACACACATCCACAGACACACACACACTTGCGCTGCTCCGCGCGCACTATTCATAAAGACGTCTTTTAAAAATGTCCACTACACTCAATATTCCGCCACGTCCTCAAAGCAAAACGCTGACAAAAGTCCAGATGTGATGTGAGCAGGAAGAGTTGGACAGCGTCAGAAGAGATTATTACAAGACATATAGCGTTTGTAAAATGTGTCGGTGAGGTTTTTTTTACTTTTACCCCCAAAACTATATTGTAAACAAAAGAAAGTTACAAAAATACAAAACAACACAAGGGAGCCAGGGGTTGATGAACAAATATAAGCTGAATAAAAGTAAATAGATTATTAAAATAAGTCATTCACGGTTTTTGTGTCTTTTGATTGTTAAATAAATGAATTGAGTACATTTAACGTGTGAACTCTATCAGATGACAAAATAGTTTTTGTTTTTAATCCTATATGTGAAACTTGACCTGGATGATTAGCAAATTAATAGAAAAAATCTCTAAAATCATTTTTATACTTTGCTAAAAAAAATCAAATAAAACATGTTTCCAGTTTAACTTTAAGTCAGGAGATATTTTTTGTGATTTATCACAACCTTAATGGAGTGAAGACACAGCCAGACCAGATGAGTGACAGGTTCTGCAGAGAGATGAAAAAATCTGTCAAATTCAAAACTTTGAAAGCTTTCTTTCCCAGGGTAAATCCTGTATATTTGTTTTAAGGACACGTCTTTTACTTTACTGGTTAGAAGAAAACGTTTTGGCTTACACCAGACACTCTGCAAGTCATAGAGCAGAGCAACACTGCAGACGTGTAGTTAAGAACAGAAGAGCCAAAGATCAGAGTCACAGTGCTTCAGACTCAACCATCTCTGAGACTGACACATGGACATTATATTAGGACTGATTTATTATCTGCTATTTTACCAGAAGATGTCAGTGAATGGATTGAACTTATTTAAACAACTGTTTGGTTGAATGTTTAGGATTATTGAGTCTTTTTAGTTGAATGAAGGATTATATCAATCTTATAATTAGATTTCATGTCATTTTTGAGTTGTGTTTTTTTTAAATAGATTTATTTGTTGTTTTTCAATGAATGAATAAATAACGACATATTTATAGCATTAGCCAATACAAATATTATATATGGCCATTTAAAGGACAAATCTGCTAATGGATCAAGAGTTAATAAATACATTTGTTAAGAGAAAATGATTATTCTTTAAAGTATATTAATTTTTAATTATATAATGTTTTGCATCCCTTATTTAAACCTCTTAAAGTTGGCAACCCTACCCACATGGTCAAGAATATTCCAGGATTTGTTATGATGTCAGCAAATTAAACAGGTAAACAAAGATGACAGTTTTTTTTAATTTAACATGGACCAAAATTTTTTTTACATGCATGTTTAGCAACTTAGCTGATGAAATGTATGCTGCAATGAGCTGTTCTTAATGTTTTTTTATTATTTATTATTTACCTGTAACATTTTAATTGTGAAGTTATCCCTCCGGTGGAAAGACATGTTAATACAGGTTACACATGTCCCAACTAGGGTTGGGCATAATCGTATCGTGTGCAATAAATTGTCAGAAAATCATTAATCGATTACTTTTTGGCATTTGACAATTAATACAATTAATGACACCATCAGTCCGCTCGGTGCTCCTCTTCGCTTCAACTATGACAAACGTTAAAAAGAAAAAGTTCTATAATTTATTTATCCATCAACACAATTTAAAAATTGATGTAAAGCCTGAAGTCTGTAATTTTGACACAATTTGGAACAGATTTTTACAAAGAGCAAATCTTTCCCACTAAATTGGTCATGTGACTGGGGCAGGTGGTGGTCCAGGTACTCCAGGGGATTAATCGACTAAATAATAGTTATCGGCTAAATACCATAATTAATCATGATCAATGTTTTTGCATATGTTGCCCAACCCTAGTCTCAACACATTTGAAGTCTGAAAGCACCTGATATCAAACATATCCCTAAAGTAATGAAGTAGTGCTTGGGTACACATACGTCATCCAAAGACTAGACCGTCTCAGCCCTTTTATGCAGCCTATGACTTCAAAGCTTGTCATCTCTGTGAGTTGCAGTTTAGGTAGGCTGCAGCCCATGAATTGGGACACAGCTAAAGTGACAGTTCTGGCACTGTGAAGTAGAGTTCTATGGAAGTGTGATGAATAATTCACATTTATACATGTTGTACAGAAGATGGCTCTTTAAATGGTTTCACTTTGGAGAAAGTGTTTAAGTCAGACCAAACTAGTCTGAGCTGGGCCAAGTCCAAAGTTGGATTACTGTCAACTTTAAAACAACTTCATATCTGGTCTTATTTTGTGTTAAACCTCAGAAAATAATGTAAAACACAATGTAACACATTGTTACTCAGATGAGTTGGTCAGAAATGAAAGGTTGTGTAGTGAGGTAGCTCACAGACAAAACCCCAACATGGAGGTTTATTTAAACAATCTGTCATGTGAAGTCCTCCAATATGTTAGATACTAGATGCTGCAGCTGAGTTTTTGTCCTGAGGGAAAGCGCTGTATTTCAGGTAACCTATTGGGTGAGTTTATCTGAGGAAATAACTTTGCCAAGACAAAAATAATGTTAGGAGATTGTCAAAAACCAACAACAGAAGTTTTACTGTAGAATTTGAAAAACAGATGGAACACAAACACTAAGGTGATACACTTACAGTGGAGTCCACCCCTCAGAATCTACCAGAACTGATTGAGAGCAGAGTGAAAACAATATACTGACAGCTGGGGATCAACAGAGAGAAGATTACAGAGGGGCCTTGAATCCAAGCAGACAGCCTGATCATTGCCATGCTGAAAACTATCACAGATGCATTTCAAACCTAATCACCATTTTATAGAGTTACCATTTAGACAGTGTATGAAAACCTTAAGCTTTTTTGGTATGATAGAACAAGAGTTTATTGAGTGTCAGCCTTATCAGTTTGTGGTCTGTGCTGTTTTGAAAGATCAAGCTTAAAAAATTAAAGCTTTTCTTGGAGGACGAAGGTCATTTCTGTGAAAAACATCAGTGTGAAACAGATGCCACAGAAAAAAGTGGGCAAGTGGGATCAAATGTCTCCACAGACACACTCAAAACCTGCTGCAAAGATGATAGCTTAGTTGCTATTACAGCTTGCTGTATTTTGACCTAAATACATCACAAATATTTATTTAGAAACCAAAGTCATGAAAAATTGTTAAAGGGGCATAGCATTATTTCTTCAAAGCACAGAAAATTAACCTAAAAAGCCAAACAAGGTAAAATAAAATAAATGCTGTGTGATGCAAAGCAATAGACTGACTGGTTAAATCTGAGCATCCCCAAGAGTGACAACATAACAGATGGTCCAGAAACCAGACGAGCTTCATATTAACCACTGTAAAAAATGAACATGAGGAAATGGGCTTTAGCCTACAAAGATAGAAATGGGAAGACTGGGTAAGTTAAGAGGCAGATAAAGTGATATTATTAAACTCAGATGTCAAAAATCCTATTGTGGTATGTGGAGAGATTTCTTTTCAACATTTATTTAACATTAGCATGAACCATCAGTGATATAGGGATGGCTTCAGATTAAACCAACTTTTACACCATTACAAAAAAATCATTTCCAACAACACATCTCTTTTTTTTCTTCAAATTGCAGGGAAAATATAAATATTCATTCATATAACTGAAAACAGAGATAACTCTACCAAACAACCTTTTTTAACTACTCTCACTATGCTAAACTCTCAGTTTGTCCTTCTAAAGTTAAATAAGTAACTGTAAGTTAAGCATTATTCATGTCTTCTAAAACCTGCTCAGAACAAAATAGTTCACCCGTGTTTGTCTGGACCCCCACCACCACCCTTTACCCAGCAAAACAGCCAAACTCTGCCAACTTCAAATAAACAGCTGCAGCTCAAGGTCTCTCCCTCCCATTGGATCAACAGAAACATGCAAACAGTCGCAGCCTGTGCACACCTCCTGCACAACTCTGACAAACAGCAGAAACAGAGGCGATATCGTCTTGCATGCTGATAATGTTAAAAATATTTCTTTGCCTTTGCTCTTCATTTTAAAAGTAGTCATCTGAAGATATTTTTGGCCCGAACGTGCCGTTTGTAGTGACAGCTTTAATGATTAAACACACTTATCCCGGCATATACAAGCTCCGACTCAATCTCTGTGTTCAGAACAGAGATAAAACGTAAAGTCCTGTTTGTCTTCTGACTTCAGTGAGATGTGAGGACGTTTTTAGGTCAGGTGTCTTTAAAGGGTTAGCACAGACGGGGAGAGAGTTAGACGATTTGTTTTCAAAGTGAAATTATCCACATTTCTAAAAAAAATGCTTCCGTCATCTTATTTTATCAAAGAGTTAAAGTTTACTCAACAGAGTAGATGAGCAAACAGGAAGTGGTTTTATAGGTTGTGTATGAATGTGGAAACAGGTTATCAGACTGAAGGAAACTTTTGGTTTGTAAGAAGGCTCACATAGTGTATATTATCCATGAGAGCTGCACTCGTGTCCAGTGAAAAAATTCTAGAGTGGAACCAGGGATGTGCCCTAAGGAAGCAGAACAAGGAGCAAAATGTTGTTGTTCTTTGGGCTGCTCCCTTCTACAGGGGTATCCACAGTGAGCAAACTTGCATAAAAGATCTGGCAAATGCTTTACACCAGATGTCCTTCCAAATGCTCAACATTGGCTCAAACCAGCAGCTTCAGGCTTAAAAGACTGCAGCACTGATCACCAATTTCACACAGTCTTCAACACAGTGCAAAAGGTATGCAGTAGAACTGCTTATTTAGCAATTCATCTAGGGCTGGGCGATACAACAATAACGATATCCTAATAGACATGTGATCAATATCAGTTGAAAATACTGTACATCCAATGAGCCAGAGTCACACAGCATTCTGGGGAATGTAAGCAGTAAAAAAGGCTTTAGCTGCTCTACCTCTCACAGCCCAGCTAAGCGAGATTGGTAGCATCAACTAACTCACTCACTCTTCGGTAAGCTAGCAACAACCTGTTAAGTAACATGTTTTACCACTGTGCCTGCTGCTGCTTAAACTGCTTAAAAATAAAAAATATTGACGTGGAGTGAAAGTATAAAATTAGTGCAACGTCTCGAGAGGAAACTGTGGATAAAAGAGGAAAGGTCACGTCACCAATTTGGCAGTATTAACCAGACTTTTCTCCTGGTCCTTATTTCAACTATAGGTCAGGGGTGTTATAACTGACTGGCACCTCTGTGTTATTTATTTATTTTGCAGTTTGGGTGTGCCCTTGTTTTCTGTACCTAACGTGGCTGTGTGTGTGTGTGTGTGTGTGTGTGCGTGCGTGCGTGCGTGCGTGCGTGCGTGCGTGCGTGCGTGCGTGCGTGTGTGTGTGTGTTATCTTACAGGTGGTGAATCAGGTGGAACTCTTTGATGGTCAGTCTGGACCAGTGAGGGACTGAGCTCTTCAGCACCTACAGATGACACCATCCTGCATGCTGCAGATTGAGGTTTGAAATAGTTGTTGGAGATTTGTGAATCTGCACCATCGTAAGTCACTTTTTGCAATAATATGAACAAGAGACTTTTATATTGTGTGCAAACAACAGGACCCCAAATTCTGTCTGTGCTGAAGCCATGAGTGTGCGTTATAGCGTTGAAGAGGCTTTAGAGCTGATTTTCTCGGATGTCCAGCAAGACCACTCTGATTCAGAAAAGGAAGTGGAGATGTATCCAAAGAAGAAGATGGGGAGGATTACAACCCAGAGCATGATGAATCGTCTTCAGAAAAAGAAGAAAACCCTGAAGCTGAAAGGGAGACTTTCCTTTCAAAAAAAAATAGCAAAATTACATCATCCTCAGCAGCATATGACCAACACGGCAGGCATGCAGAACAAAATGCCATAAACATGACCCCAGCACACACAAGTTATGTCGTTTCTCATGCCCATGACATTATCTCTACATTCTACCTGTTTATCACACCAGCAATAGAAAAAAACTAGATACTGCATAGCGGTAACATAATGACCCCCGCACACACAAATGCACCAGAACTCAGAAGTCTTTATTCCTAATAAATGTCAYGCTACTAGGTGCATCCCACAATTGTAGTGGTTTGAGTGGGGGTCTTTTTCCAAAGAAATCTGAAGCTCCTATGTTTAATAGTTTTTGAGCTTTAACCATACCCCTTTTTTAGAAAATTGGGGGTCCGGGGGGTGGGGGGGCACTGATTGGTGGGCCTGATGCATAGAGCTTCATCGGAGCTAAACAACAAAAAAAATATGAAGCTTCTATGTTGTACAGTTTCTGAGTTATAAGCATTTTTTCATGTCCAGACCCCCTTTTTCAGAAAAATTGGGGTTCCGGGGGGCACTGATTGGTGGGCCTGATTCATCAGAGCTAAACAACAAAAGAAATCTGAAGCTTCTATGTTGAACATTTTCTGAGTTATAAGCAGTTTTGCGTGTCCTGACACCCCCACTTTGAAAGGAGCCCCCTCCTCAAATATGGGGTCTATCATAAAACCGTTGGCTGGCGCAGTGTAGGTCAGACTCATCTACAGTCCTGCCAAATTTCATGTTGATCGGTGCAGCCGTTTTTGTGGTACGGTTAACCAAAAATCACTGAAAAAAAGAAAGAAAAACAAATAAACAGTACGAAAACAATATGACTCCCACTTATGCTTCGCGTGTGGGGGTCATAATAATCCTGGAGATGACAAAACTGGAGGGTTTTCGCAAATATGGAGACAGCTGGAAAAAGATGGATGAGATTGACCTGCAGGCCTACTTAGGGCTGCTAATCGTAGCAGGTGTATACAGGTCCCGACGTGAGGCTGCAGCTAGAAGTTAATGGGATGCAGAGAGTGGAAGGCCAATTTTCCGAGCYACAATGTCACTCAAACTCTTTCACACCTACTCAAGGCCACTACGATTTGATGACCATGAGTCAAGACCAGCAAGTCGTGTGACAGACAAACTTGCAGCCATAAGAGAGGTATGGGACAAGWGGTAGTCCCATACCTTATATGGAAATGGGACTATTGCATTCCGGAAATGAAGGTTGCTCCTTAAAGACGCGGGATTAAGAGAGCAAAGGAAGAAGAAAGGAAGAAGTTAGAGAGTTTCTTCTACTCACGTTCAAGTACTCAGAGCATTATTTATTAATTTCTTTTATCCACCTCCCCAAACACAGACCCTCAGGTTAACCTCACAGGTTTAATGCCTAAGGTTAACCTCACAGGCCTAATGCCTAAGGTTAGTTTGTTACTGTAATATAATATTAATATCCAAAAACAACAAAGATTTAATAAAGATTTGAAAATGAAAAAGGGACATACCACGTGACATAACACGTGTAGCCATTTCCTTACTGTAATTTTTTTTTTTATTAAACAACAAAGAACGCACAAAATGATACAATGTACAAACAATAAGGCGTATTTCAAACAAACAAACAAACTTGCATAAAAGAGAAAAAGGATGGGTGCAAATAAAGATAAGAAATTCCTTACTGTAAAATTTGTATTTTTAATGTTGAAAGTGTTCGATAGAAAATAGTGTCAGTAGCGCCCCCTTCATTTCTGGAATGCAATAGTCCCATTTCCATATAAGGTATGGGACTGACGGAAAGGTCTGTCACCGCCCCGTTCTGCATGCTGCAGTGAAGTGTACTTGTACCTCTACAATCCAGGGCCTGAAGTAGCAGTGAATGAGCAACTGGTTCCATTTAGAGGTAATCTGTTTTCATATTTGTAATAAAAGTGATTTTCACTATTGATTTCTTTGTATCTGTGACACTGATACTAATCACTGATGCTAATGTCTTTTGTCCAAAGGTCTTTGTCCTTTCCGGCAGTGTATGCCCAGCAAGCCAGCAAAATATGGGATCAAGTCATGGGTGGCTTGCAATGTCAAATCAAGCTATGCTTGGAAAATGCAARTCTATACTGGGAAGTCAACCAGTGGATGCCCAGAGAAGAACCAGGGGATGYGAGWTGTGCTTGRTGTGACAGAGGGACTRAGGGGTCACAATGTGACATGTGACAATTTCTTCACCTCTTATGAACTCGGACAGCAGCTCCTGAAGAGGGAGATCACCATTGTTGGTACAGTTCAAAATAACAAGCCTGAGCTCCCACCTGCACTGCTTGTGTCAAAGGAGAGAGAGGTCTTCTCCTCAAAGTTTGCCTTCATGCCCACCACCACTCTAGTTTCCTACCTCCCAAAGAAAAACAAGAATGTAGTTATTCTGAGAACACTGGACACAGACGGCAAAATTAGGCATCGTGAGGACAGGAAGCCAATCATCATCCTGGAATACAACCGCAACAAAGGAGGTGTGGACAACCTAGATAAGGTGATTGGAACATATAGCTGCAGAAKAATGACTGCCCGCTGGCCCCTGGTCATCTTCCACAGCATCATTGATGTTTCCTCCTACAATGCCTTTGTGATTTGGAGAGAGATCAACCCAACCTGGATGTCTCATAAGCACAACAAGAGAAGGGTGTTCCTGGAGCAGCTTGGAAAGGCACTTGTAACTCCACTCATTGAAAGAAGGAAGCATGTTCCCTGCACAGAAGCCTCAGCAACAGCTGTGAAAGCTATTCAGAGTACAGGAGGTCCTGATCAACCTGAGGATCCAGCTACCACAGCCACTTCCCCAGCTAGGGCAAGTAAGAGGAAGAGATGTCAGTTCTGCCCTCAAAAGGAGGACTGTAAAACACATACTGTGTGCTACATGTGTAACAAATATCTGCAAAGGCTGTGCACTTGCATACTGCCCTACATGTGTTAATTAGTTGAATGGGTTATGTCATTTTTCATAAATTTGTATTGTACATTGTCTTAAATTGTTCACTGGAGAAAAAAAAGAAACTGAGTCATTGGGATGAATAAAATGCATTAAAAACTCTTTTTTGCACATTTTTCTCTTTTTTTAAACACCTTCACATTGACCCTCTTTAACATCCTGTGTTTAATTCAGACTGCCATACGGGAACAGTCTTCAAACATTTTAACACTGATGAGAATATCAGATGGTGGATTTCAGTTTCCTGCAGTTCTGCTTTGATTTACAGTAGATAAGGCCTGCCCCGAACTGACTCAACACCGATTTACAATGGGGATCGGAGGAGACAACAAGGGCACTACACATATCTCAGCACACTGATACACAAAACTCACAAGGCTGCTTAAACTTTTGTCTTCACCTGTTTAAAGCTGTCAGTCCTCTGTGGGATTTCACTTTTTCACCTCTTTCAGGGTGAAAACCCCAAAGAAAAGGATCATGGGGAAACTACATGGCTACTCTAAAGCTCAATGAAGACAGCTTTGCTTATTAACTTTAGTCTGGTTGTGTTCAGGTGGAGCAAAGACAAAAAAACATCCTATCACTGCAGAACATTGATTTTATACTAGGAAAAAAACTGGACATTTCAATGACAGTATTGATTGATTAACTGGGATTGTCTGGTTAGGCTTTTCATTGTATAAACTTTAGAGAAAGAAACATAATAATCTAACTCAAAATTCTGTGACCTATAGCAATTCATTTTATCAATACAGGAAAAAAATATATCAGTTTAAATACTTAAATGCCAAAGGATGACCTAACTAATTACTGCACATACTGTAATTTCCACAATAATAATCAAACATATGTTTGAGAAGAATGAAATCCACTGGAAACATTTAACATTACAGACCAAGATGATATAAGCCACCTTTTTAACACTGTTTATAATTTACCACACAGAAACATAAATTGTGTGGTATATTTGTCCACCTGTGTGACAAACTGTTTACTAAACTCAAAGAGAAGTCTGGACTTTGTCTGCTGGAAGCAAATATGACCAAGTTCTCTGAGGACGTTCCACAAAAGGTACTTAATGTCAGCTCGTTTCATACTCCCATACTTTCTCTACAACCTGGACCTCCGTTTTCTGCCGTTTCAATAAAGAGCAGTGATCCCGCGAGAGATGTAGACATTAGAGGCTTTTACAGTCTGAGCAAATTAATCTCTCGCTTGCTGTAGCAACAACCCTGTAGCTCATTAAATATTAACAACCCATGTCCTGCCAAGAGAAAGTCCTCGCAGCCTTGTACACTTTTAAGAGCGCAGGAGTGCTCCACTGTGTAGGAACAATAAGGGTGAAAAGCTAAATGAAAATAGTTTTGTCTGTCCCACTTACGGCTGCATTAACATTTACTGCAGGCTTGCTGGGGCTGAGTCGCAGGATAACATCTTACAGTAAGAAGCATGCTTTTAGATAAAGCAGCAGTGTGAACATTAGCGTCAGGCTATCAGATGATGGTGCATAAAGCGTTTTACTCGCTGTTAAATCCTGCAGGGTTGGGTCAGCCACTCAAGTGCTTATGAGCAGCCTCTTGGCCTGTCGAGCTCCAGACTGTCAGACTCAGAGGAGAAGGAAACAGAGGAATCCTGTCGTAACTTTTCCCCTCTGATAAGCAGCACAGCAGGACTCATGTAACACTAAATCTTGAAGGAATTACTTTCTGAGTGAGAGAGTTTCGTTATACTGCATCCACTGATTCATGAGATATTTTGTTAACACTAACACACACACACACACACACACACACA